CTATTCTATTCTATTCTATTCTATTCTATTCTATTCTATTCTATTCTGTTCCGTTCTATTCTGTTCCGTTCAATTCTATTCTATTCGGCTACCATAAGGCCTATGGAGGCCTTATAATTCTAATTCAGCCTAACCTCATCTGTACCTGCTGTGAATAGGACGGCTGAGAAAAAGGAAAAGACCCTGTGAAAGACAGCTGACAGGAGACAAAGACACCAAAGGCATCAATAGTGATGTCATGTTCTTCGTCATGTTAATTTTTGCTTTAATATACACAGGTCTGTAAATATATATTACCATCTGCCAGATAATCTGAATTTCGCCCATGGATAATGCGTGAAGGCTTCTATGCTGTTCTATTCTTGACCACCGCATGAGGAAAAAGATAAGGCTTTTTAATTACAATTGCTGACATGTTCTTTCTCTTATCTGTCTTTTATGTCTTTTACCTTTCTTTTCTACTCTATTTAGCAGTTTTATCATGTTTTTAATATATGTAAATCCATCCATCCATCCATCCATCCATCCATCCATCCATCCATCCATCCATCCATCCATCCATCCATCCATCCATCCATCCATCCACCCAGTATCGTTACCGCTTATTCCTTAATGGGGTGGCGGGGAGAGCCTATCCCAGTGGTCAATGGGCGAGAGGCGGGGTACACCCTGGACAGTCCGCCATCACAGGGCCACACACAAGACATATAAGGACAAACAACCACACATACTCACAATCACTCCTAAGCGATATTTGAAATGTCTAATCAACTTAACATGCAGGTTTTTTGGACAGTGGGAGGAAGCCGGAGAACCCAGAGAGGACCCACGCAGATAGAGGGAGAACATGAAAACTCCACACAGAAATGCACTGGGTCCCCGCGACTCGAACCCAGAACATTCTCGTGGTGCTAACCACTACAACACTGTGGACTGTGAATTATGATTTGTCAGATAATCTGACGATAACCATTTAGTAATGCATAAAGCAGGGGTGTCAAACTCCAGTCCTTGAGGGCCGCTGTCATGCAGGATTTAGAGGTAACCCTTTT